AGGGTTCTTCATTCCTTTTCATTGATCTAAATTTTCATCTGTTATCATTTTGCTTTCACTTGAAGAACCTTATAATTTCTTGTAGTCTACTCATAATGAATTATGTCAGGTTTTGTTTATCACTTTTGAAGGATAGTTTAAATGAACAGAAATTTCTATGTTAACCGATTTTGTTTTTCTTTAAGCACTTTAAAGATTTAATTCCAGCCCTGGCCAGTTTGGCTCAGCGGTTAGAGCATCGGCCTGCGGTCCTAATAGACCCGGGTTCGATTCCTGCTAGGGGCGCGTACCTTGGTTGCAGTTTGTCCCCGGCCCTGGTTGGTCGTGCGGGTGGCAGCCACTCGATGTGTCCCTTTCACGTCGATGTTTCTCTCTCTCTCTCTCTCTCTCTCCCTCCCCTCTACCTGAACAAAAAATGGAAAAATGTCCTCGGATGAGGATGATAAAAAAAAACAAAAAACAAAATATTTAATTCCATTGTCTTTTGACTTGCATTATATCTAATAAGAAATATGCTATCAGCCTGATGTTTTTTCTCTGTTCATTACATGTCTTTATTTTTCACCTCTAATTGTTTTTTTAAGATTTTTTTACCTCTTTATCATTAGTTCAGTTTTTTTATTGTAATGAATCTTTGTGTGTGTGTGTGTGTGTGTGTGTGTGTGTGTTATTTGTTTGGGATTCACTGAACTTCTTGCGTCTATAGTTTATAGTTTTTGTCAATATTGGAATTTTTACAGCCATTTCATAAACATTTTTTTTCTGCTTCCCTCCTCCATTTTCTGGAAGTCCACACACACATTGTTCAAGTGTTTAGTATTCTCTGTTACTTCCATCACCTCTGTCAACTCCAGCTGTAGGTTAACAAAAATGTTTTTCCTCCGGCTTATGGGTTACATTTCTTATTTCTTAGCACATCTTTTAATTCTTTAATAGGTGATGGGCATTGCAAATTTCTCACTGTTCATTGCGGTATAGTCTTTGCCTTCCTTTAGAAATGTTGGATGTCGTTCTTATGGGAAGTTAAATAGTCGATCAGCTTGCTCCTTTCGAGGCTTGTATTGTAAGCTTTGTTAGGGCTGGACAAGCCCAGTGCTATGGCAATATTTTTCTGAGATTTCAATTGAACGTTAGTGCTCAGCGAGGGTTTTCACTGTGCTGGTGAAAATTGTTCAGCTTACAGTACTTCTGGAATTTATTTGCCAGGACTGGAGGAGTTTTACCTCACGTATTTGTGACTTAGTATTCATTAGTAGATTCAAGGGGATACCTATCCAGGTTTCTGGAGATTTTCTTTGCGGTGGCTACATCTTGTCTGGTTGACTGACTTGCCAATAATAGCACCTCTGCCGCCATGATCTTTGATCTTACGTTCTTAGCACAGGGAGCCTCCTTCACTGTGGTGTAGAAAGTGCCTCCAGGCAAAAGCTGAGGATAACATGAGGCCATCATGTTGATTTTCCTTCTCTTGGGGATCAAATCCCACTTTTTACGTCTAATGTTTAAAAACAGCCTCTATATTTTGTTTAGTTTTCTGTTATTAAAAAATATATATAGTGGTATGATAAGCTTCTAGTTATTCTACCATGGTTAAAAGAAAAAGAATCTGGTAACATTTTTTTTTATCATCTATAAAAACAAGAAATTCTCCTAAGATATTTGTCAAGTAGGTCATAGATGAAATACATTTACCTTTGTTTACTGATTTATGTGTTTTTAAAATTAAATATCTGTGTTATATTTATAATAGTTGCATAAAGATACAAATTTATATATTAGAAAACATAGATATAAATATATGAGCACAACTTACATTTATAATGGCTACTTACATTTCCCATTATTTTTAAAATTTTGAATCGTGTGCATTTTTAAAATAAATTCTCTGATCACTGTTCTCTATACACATTCAGAAGAACAATTGGCAACGGTCTTTGCAAATAGCAGCTTTAAAAAATATATCTATAGATATTTGAATTGTTTGCATTTAGTTATATAATAGCATCTAATGTTTACTTTTTAGTTTACTTGAAATATATCACTGTAACAGGGATGATTCATTGTTCTGTTTTCTACAACTTGGCATAAAATTTAGAATTAGTACATATACAATATTCACATTATATATTTGGATATTATATTTTATTTTTAGTTTTAAATCAGGTCACTCATAGATCTGAGGAGTATGTACTTAGTGTAGAAATATAATCCAAAGAAAACCAAATTGTTTGTAATACAGTAGGATCTAAATGAAAATATTATGTATAGATGCACCCATATACATCAAATGTCTAAGCAAATATCAGTGACATTCTTATCATTGTTTAGTTTCAAGTTTTAATTTTACCTTTTTCTTTATTCATGGCCTAATAGGTCATGATAGAGTTCTTCAGGAATATTTATAAATTGTTCCTGTGTGATATTAAGCTTTCTATAATCCCCATTTTGATTAAGGTTTGTAAAGCCAAGTTTGTTATTCAAATAAAGGATGTCATGTAGAAAGAGAATGTCTCTTACTCTATCCAATTAACTAGAGTAATTTTTCTCTTTTTAAAATAAGACGTTTATCTGCAGGAGACACATTCCTAAAGAATCAATAGAAATAGCCTAGAGCCACATTTTGAAAAACAAGAAAGGAAAGAAAGAAGAAAGAGAGAAAGAGAGAAAGAGAGAAAGAAAAGAAAGAAAAGAAAGAAAGAAAGAAAGAAAGAAAGAAAGAAAGAAAGAAAGAAAGAAAGAAAGAAAGAAAGAAAGAAAGAAAGGAGGGAGGGAGGGAGGGAGGGAAGGAACAAAATGAAAGAAAGAGAGAGAGAGAAGAAAGAAAGAAAGAAAGAAAGAAAGAAAGAAAGAAAGAAAGAAAGAAAGAAAGAAAGAAAGAAAGAAAGAAAGAAAGAAAGAAAGAAAGAGCTCTGGCCAGTTTGGCTCAGTGGTTAGAGCGTTGGCCTGTGGTCCAGAGAGACCTGTGTTCGGTTTCTGCTAAGGGCACATACCTCGGTTGCAGTTTGTCCCTGTCCCTGGCTGGGTTGTTTTGGTGGCAACCACTCAATGTGTCCCTTTCACGTCTCTCTCTCTCTCTCTCTTCCTCTCTCTCTCCCTCCTACTCTATCTGAATAAAAAATGGAAAACTGTCCTCGGGTGAGAATAAAAAAAAAAAAAAAGGGAAGGAAGGAAGAAAGGGAGGGAGGGAAGGAATAAAATAAAAGAAAGAAAGAGCCCTGGCCGATTTGGCTTAGTGGTTAGAGTGTTGGCCCACGGACCAGTGACTCTTGGGTTCGATTTCGGTTAAGGGCATGTACTTCAGTTACAGTCCCTCTCATGTCGAGTTTTCTTTAACTTAAGATAAATCACATGATAAACAAGCAGCACTATGTATTTCACTTAGTTCTCACAAGTGGTAAGGATTTCTAAGTGATGAACAGCTTAAATTTCATTGCATTTAAAAAAAACATTTTTTTCTTTATTGATTTTAGAGAGAGAGAGGAAGGGAGAGGGACAGAGAGATAGAAACATTGAAGAGAGAGAACATCGATTGGCCGCCTCCTGCATGCCCCCCACTGGGGATGTGGCCCACAGCCTGGGCATGTACCCCTACCGGGAATCAAACTGATAACTCTTGGTTCATGGGTTGTCGCTCAACCACTGAGCCACACTGGCTGGGCTAAACGGCATTTTAAAAATTCTTATAAGTTCTAAGTTTTAAGATGTGAATTTTGTTTTCTTGAAAATACATTTTATATATTTTTTTCTACATAGGTGTTTAAATAATTAAAAACACACTTGTTTTTCTTTTCTTTGCTACCTATGCCACGGACGTTCATACCCACTAGAAGTGTTTACTAACAGTTGCAAACCCAGGCCGGTGGGGACTGCTTGCTCTGAGAGAGTCAGTCTCCCTGGAATGAACTTCTCTGTTTGTTTCCTGTAGGCCCCACTTCCATTTCCTTCTGGCTGTGGTGCTACTTCTGTGTTTATGTCTAAGACCAGCCTGAATTTATGAGCTATTTAAAGATAATGGTTTTGCCTATTCAGATGTGACTAAAAAAAACCAAGACATATATATTTAAAGTAAATTTTAAATAAAGTGGACAATAAACTGGTGAATTTTTAAGTTTCGTAAATAAAGCTTATTTAAGCATATTTCATTAGTCAATATGTTAACATTTAAAAATCAACTCTCTGAATCTGTTTTCAGATTTGTATACAATCTAAGGACGATGCTTTCGAGCTTTATAAATCCATAATGTTTTTGCCCACTGCTGCCTGGTATCAGTAAGATTATCTTTAGTGGTTCCAAAGTGTGCCTTTAAAAATATATATTAACATTAAAACATCTTTAATTTAATACAGAATTTTTTCTTATTCCAAAGAATGCTCCTTATAAATAATGCTCATGATATTATTCAATTACAAGGTAAAGATAAATCACTTGGGCCTTGACATAGTGTCACAAGAAAAGAAATTTGTAGCCAGTGACAGGGATACACACACACACACACACACACACACACACACACACAAAGTATATGTTCATATATAAAAGATTACATTATGATTAGTGGTGGTGAGATATATATATATATATACATATATACACACATCTATATATAATTGTATTCTCTGTCTATCTAGTACATCTAGCAATATAATGAAAGCTAATCTTTCCCATTCTAACCTGCTTCAGCTGGAAATAGAAAATAACCATTTGTTATAAATTACAGACACTTTTTTACAGCAGTAAAGGTGAACTGCACGTCTCAATTCCTGAATCCCAAGACCCAAGCCCCTCGTTTTATGCTCTTCTTTCCTGAGGTCCTGAAAACCTTTGGTGTCTTCAGTTCAAAGACAGAATCAGACTTGATACACTATGATACCCAAATATGTAATCCTATTATTTCTACAATTTTCTATGATTTTTTCTTTGTCTTCCTCTAAATGTTCTAGAGATATCGACCTTGTGATATTATTTGTCCTAATAGATAACAAAAGAGAAGTCTACTTACAGCCAATCAACATGACACAAATTGAAAAGATTTTTTCCGAATTGGTGTTAGGTGACACATTCCCGAATCCTACACTGGTTAAACTGCTGAAGGTAAAATAAAGTGCTGTGACGTATTTGTCTTTAATGGACGGCCCAGAACTTGAGTCACTGTCATTGTAACGTTTTCCAATTTGTTGTCCTAAGGAATCCAACCATCCGATTTTGTCAGTCAGGTAGGGCCTTTCCACATTCCCGATCGCATACCAGATGCAAGCCAGCCAGTGAGCAATCAGGGCAAATATGCACATTAGGAGCATTAGAACAGCAGCTCCATACTCTGAATACCGGTCAAGTTTCCGAGCCACTCGCACGAGGCGGAGGAGTCGTGCTGTCTTCAAGAGGCCAATTAGTGTTGTCGTCTGTGGAAGTAAATAGGCAAGGTCAGGAACAGTTGGTAAACAATTCAATGTATGCTCCTTTGAAGCTAAGTAAGCAGAGACAGGTAAAAACAATACGGTAGCATTGAGGATAACTGTATATTGATATTAAGGGTTGTTTTTGTGTGTGTTTTTTTTTTAACTTTACCCACATTGGAAAACAGTCTGAAAGTGTGCATCGCATTAATTCAATATCTTGGCATGCAAATCCATGGAACAAAGAATTTGCCTGTCTTATTTTATGCTCTAACCAACTGCCTTGCACATCGTGGGTAAATCATTCACTGGCAAACATTACACGGTGTTACTAGTGTGCCGAGCAAGTGCCAAAGACTGGAATCAGAGTGTTGAACAAACATACGTGGTCACTTTTCTAACAGAGGCAGTTATTTAGTAGACAAAGTATCTTCTCTAATGAAAAGACATAAGTTCACTATCTATTGGGAAGATATAAATATTTTTAAAATACACAAGTCATAAGATCAATCCAGAGATGACAAAAGCCATGATGAAAATAAAACAATGATATGAAAGATGTTTGGGGGCATGGGTTGGAAGAGGGACCCGTTTAGAAAGGAAGGCTTTGCGGAGGAGCCGGCCTCGGAACCGAGGAAGATCTGCTTGATGAGGAAAAAGCCAGTCAGCAGATAACTGGAAGCTTATTGAATGAGCACATGCATGCATTAGACACTATATTTAAATGAATTTTTTCCTTCCTAAATGTGTTAAATGGACCAATTGTTTCTTGCTCTCCCAATGATATTATGCATTTTGCTTTGTGGTATGATATATGTAAGTAATTACATGACTATTATTGACCAGGTATCTAATGATAGGAAACTTCTATATAATAACAGGATACTTAACTGGTTGTTTGGACTTGAAATCTGACAAGTACAAATTACAAGTTCATGTCTTAGGTTTCCTAAATAACGTTGACTATAAGTACTACATATTTCACAGGGTATGTAATTATTCCATAGCTCCACAATGTTTACCAATCAATTATCGAGTTATTTTATCTGTTCATTGCTGGTATTTATTTTGCAAAGTGCATCCAACTAAGTTAAGAACATATATTTTAATGAGAGAAATAGCTCTTGACATAACTATCACCCTGTCTATTCACATTTACTTGGCGGTAAAAGGGCACTAAATTAAAACACAAACAAAACATTTTCATTAAAATACTATAATAAGTGTTTATTTCCCTCCTTTAAATTATAGTGGTCACAAGGGAAGGGGAAATTCCTCAGTTTCCTTGAATTCTTTAATTCAGTTAGTGCTGAAACCCTCTAGAGGCGAGAGGAGCTGGTGAGTTGAGATGTGCTTATCACAATGGGACTGTGGTCTTAGCTCATCTTGGAATGTGTGGAGATGGGAGTCTTCCCTGTTTGCAATGCTGGGTTCTTATTTTTTAGGGTGTAATAAAGAAAATAATTTATTTTTGTCCTTCACAAATGTAAGTTTATCTGTTGCCCGGCTGGCGTGACTCAGTGGTTGAGTGTCGGTCCATGCACCAAGAGGTTGCTGGTTTCATTCCCGGTCAGGGCACATGCCCAGGTTGTGGGCCTGATCTCCAGGGGGGGGCATGCAGAAGGCGGCTAATCAATGTTCTCTCTCATCAGTGTTTCTGTCTGTCTCTCCCTCTCTCTTCCTCACTCTCTCTAAAATCAATAAAGAAAAAAAAGACTTTAAAATATATCTGTTCACAGTGAATAAATAGAGAGTTTAAGTTAGTACTAGATAGTTCCTTGGGAGAAAAATCAACTTTCTACTATTTGTATTATCAGTATTTTAGCTTAGCAGTTATGTACTAGGACTGTGGAACAGATTTAAATTCTGCTTCTGTACCAGTGTGTCACCTAGGAGAAGTTACTTATTTAATCTCTAAGCATCAATTTTCCATGTAAATGGGCATAATAATGCCTACCTTAGAGGATTGTAGATGATACTCAATAAATGGTAGCTATTTATATTCTTATTTGAACATCCCATACATTTTGTTTTCATCAGTGAGCAGGAAATTTATATTGTAAAATGTGTTGATAGAGCTTATACACTTTCCAAAGGCATTGCCTAGATATCTGGAATCCCAAACAGGTTTTTCAGCATTGGCCTTGCAGCTTCCACGGGAAATAGCAGGAATTTTAAAGACAAGAATTTCATCTGGTTGCACTGACTACTTGCACTCTGATAATAAGCATCACTCTGGTTTAATGTGTCACCATTTCTAAACTTCACAGCTTACATTTGCATGGGTATTTTTTATCCTATCCCAGTTATATCTATTTCCTTCTATTGAGAAATCAGAAATATCTGAGGGTTATTATTTTAAACTTCTTGTCCTTGGAACAAAATTTCTCTCTGAACACCAAAATAAATAAAATATTACAACAATCCTCTAAATATTTGGCTAATGAAGTGAGATGCTTCCAAAGAAATGAGCTGTTTTTAGATCATGGTGCAATAATAAGTCCTAATGATTCTTCGGGCTGCAAGGTGGTGGAGTAAAAATGCTGTTATGCAAGAAAAGAGGAATGAAATCTGCTGGCATGCCACCCACCTCCTTTTTGTCCTCTTCCCAGAGAAACCTCTGATGTTTCTTCTAGAATTATATTAAAATGAGATAAAATCTAGATGACAGTAAGTTCTCTCAGCAGATAAATAAATATATCTTATATAATAACACACAAGAGACATCTTTTCTGGACAAAAAAACGCTTATGAAATATGGTACATAATGAAGTCTCAACCCAGTTTAATAAGTGTATGTGAATATTGACTTCAAGAGTCAAAGCCACATACCCAAACATAACTATGTTAGTTTGACAAGGTGACAAATGACTTGACCTTCTTTCTGCTTTTATCAAGATGTACTAACACACCTTAGTTACAGTTGTGTACCGCATATCTTGCAGATGACACAAGATTGCAATAACTGCTTTCTTGTTGTTGTTTAAATATCCCTTTAAAGTTTTAAGGCGTTTGTCCCACTTACACCAAAATCTCAGAGAGAGTAGTAGACTAAGGAATGATCAGTCTCCTCCTGCTGATCACTTGAAGACTGTTTGTCCCCATTGTTTAGTTCAATGGACTGTCTTTGTATTATCTGCAAGTGAAATATGGGACCAACAGCTACCTTACAATATAACTGTGTTGACAGCAGGGTTTGGCAGAGTGAGGTGTTCTCAGAATGTGTGGTTATATCACAGCATATCGAATTTCATGCCCTATCCAGACATATTATAGAAGTCTACCTTCATGGGTTTTTTAATTTTTGAAAATAGAGATAAAACTATCCTTAAACCAAATGCAATAATTTAAAAAATAGTAGAGGTAATGGACTTTCTCTTAGATGTCATCTCTTGAGCTTTCACTGGGTATTAGAAAAACAGTGTCTGTTTGCTGTTAATTTTGGTAGAGACTCAAAAAGCATTAAAGCTCATTAGAGGTAAGCGCTATTATTTGGAAGTACAGACATCATGATAATAAGATATAGAAAGAGTTGAGCCATTTTGCAGTGGATTGAAGCAAGGTACTTTGTTTTCTAACCTGCCCATGAACTATAGCAAAGGGGACATAATGAACTCTAACAAGTCAAGTCTCCACCTCATCAGCATCCAGGCCATCTCAGAACTCAACTCCTTTACTGGGATTGAATAATATTTCAAACTCTTTTGGCCTGAATGCAATAATAATAATAATAATAATAATAATAATAAAAAGTCTACTTATTTAAGACTTTTATTTTTAATGCATTTTTAAATATTCTTTTTAAAATTTAAAATGACTCTTCCCCTACAAATTCACCTATTTAAATTTCTGGTGGCTGATTAATACAACCCAGCTTCAATTTTTTAAAAAATGTATCCATATCCTTAGCTTATTAAAGTCATATATATTTTATTATGTTATGTTAGAAGTTAGTTTTTTTTTATTAAGTATGACTTTCTCAACTAACTTTTATTTTAATAATGTACACTCTAGACAATTATATCCTTGAAAGTATGTTAGGGATTAGACCCAAACTAAAGAAGATTATGTGATTCTTTTACCAAACATTTTACAATATATCAGGCAATATTCTTTCTTAATGTAAGTGAAATTTTCAAGGCTTGACATAGAATAGAAGATTTCTTATCAGTATTAAACAATTTACTCAAGAATAAGTGTGGCTACAGTTAAACAAAGCCATATCAGTTAGAGAAAATCTTATGCTCAAATGTTTTTTTAAATTATTTTGAAAAATAATTCTACTTTCTTTTCAGTAAGCATTTTTTAAGACTCTTACATTTAAAATACTTTATTTCAGAGATTTACTCTCTAAAATCTTTGCCTAGAGCAAGTGAATAGAACTATTCTTTTATAAATGAGGAAATATAAGTATGTGATCTTTGGTTTCATCTACAGGGTTGATAAAGTGAATTGTCACTGGAACTTTCTACTTAATCCATTATGTAGTCTTGCTTGTCAAGAAATATTTAGGTACAAGAGAGGAGGTGAAAATAGTGAGTGATAAATTTCATAACTGTACACTAATGTTTTGCTTTATATTTTATTTCAATTACCTTAAACTCTGGTACATGTAAACACCATTTAACAAATTACTTACCAATACAACTTAATAATTTTGAAAGTAGCTTCTAGTCTGTTGTTCAGCTGAGTCACACTATTTCAATATTTCTAAGGACACATTCCCTAATACAACAAAAGAGCTACATTTTGAGTGTTTAAGAAACATAGAGGGGGATCGCCTAACTTACCTTTTCTTTATTTATACCAAACCTCACAAATTCTTCCGCTAACTGTAGCTTTTAAGGAGAAGATGAATTTACAACTCCCCTGGGAAACTCATTCCAATACTGAACAGTCTTTACTGTTGAGACATTTTAATTTTTATTTTGTTTTATAATTAGCATTCTATTTTTTCTGCAAATTAAATTCACTTTTTGTTTCTTTCATTACAGTAACACAGAAAA